ACCGCTCTGTGGATTGGCACAGATTGTGTAGACCGCTCTGTGGGCCGGCGCAGGCTGTATAGACCGCTCTGTGGGTTGGCGCAGGTTGTGTAGACCGCTCTGTGGGCCGGCGCAGGCTGTGTAGACCGCTCTGTGCACCGCAGCTGCCTGTGTGAACAACCTGCCCGCGCGTGTGCTCAGACGCTCAGCAGCAGATGGCAGGCCTGTCACGTGGGCAGACCTCGCTCCAGTGGCTGGAGGAAGGAGACAAACCTCCGTCCCCTCAGAGAGACAGCCGAGCGCGGGGAAGGCCTGGTGTCTAAAGGCAGGTGGCAGGAGGAGCGTGAGGCTGTGGGGATGGCGGGGTGGGGGCGCCAGCCCGGCCACCCAGTTAAAGATAGTCATTCTTTTGTGGTTTTCTAATTACATTTTAAAACACCAAATGAACACATGCTTATAGAGAGCAGCGGAGGCTGCCGACTGCTGAGATGCACACACAAGCCCTCAAGAGGCCCCGTCCCCGCCTTCCTGGTCCTCAGCCCAGTGATTGCGGGGCAGAAGGAGGGGATTCTTCCATGCACTCTCCACCCACCCGTGCCTCTGAACGGAATCCTCGCGGTTTCTAAGGGAATTGAGCTGCGGCTGGTGGAGGAGCCCCCAGAGCCCCGTGCAGTTGGATGACGGGAGGGTAGGACCTCAGGGCTCAAGTCCGAAAGAAGAGCGGTGCAGAGTTTGAGGACAATCACGTGAGCGCAGTGGGAACTACCAACCCCTACGAAGGGATGCTGGGCCCAGGGGCAGGGTCCTCCTGGACCTGTCTGTAGAGGAATTCTGATGAGACTGGGGTTCCCGGGCCCCCAAGGTGAGACCCCAGGTGTCAGCAGAGCACTGGGCTGAGGGGGAAGGCTGGGTCCGTGCCTGGGAACAGGGGCCAGAGGACTTCATGGCCAGTGTGCATTTGGGGAGGGAAAAGGCTGTGGAGTGGCGGGCGCTGGGCCCTGATGGGTGGCGTGTCTGCAGCATCTGGGATCGCCCTGGCCAGCTCTCTAACTGTCCTGGATGTCACGGCCCCACCCCATCACCCCATGGGGACAAAGGTGGCTCCCTCTTGGATGCCAATCCACCACGTTGACTTCTGATTGGCCCTGGTCACATGAACGGCTCCTGGTTTCCACCTTATCTACTGTGCCTAGCGTGCCTAGCGTGAGAACACGTCAACCTGACGTTATCTCACAGCTAGAGGCCACGACGCAGGCAGTGGTCTGGCCATCCTGGAGGGTCACCTTCGACTGTCTGCACACAGCACGTCCAGCCTCCCGCTATGGGTCTGGGGAGCAGCAGTGCAGAGACCCACCTGTCTTGCAAGACCACGCTTCTGTCGGAAAGTGCCCTAGCAGAACACTGTCCACCGGCAAACCGGATTTGTCGGCCTTGTTCTTTGTTTCTGGGCCCCTTCTTCAGCATTTGGGAGCCACTTTGTGTTTTCAGCCTTCATGGGTCAGAGCCCCAGTGGCTTCTGAAGAGGGGGGCTTTGGCAAGCTCCAGCCTCGTCATCCTATCAGCAACTAACCCCCACCAGAGGCCCTGGCCAGGGACAGGGAGAGGGGCAGCAGCTCGGGGCACAAGGGCCCAGCAATGCAGGGGCCAGGCAGGGAGGTCCACCTCTCAGGTAGTCAGGGGCCGAGCCTCAGGGAGCACCCGCCCCCTGCAGCCCCCCACTCCCTGCTCCCCGGTGCATGCACACAGGCATGGCAGCCGGAGCCCGATCTATGGGCACCTGCCCGTGTCTGCACAAGCGCTGGCGTTCCCTGGCATGCACCCTGCTCCCACAGCTTTGCACTTGCCAGGCGCACCCCGAAGCTCCTTTCCTTCTCCGAGGAGGGTCCCTGTGACACCATCACATGCCCAGCTCTGCTCTGCCTGTTTCCTGCTTTGCAGCAGTTACCCCATCCAGGGCCACCCTCCTTCTTTACATGATCCACCCCTCCCACCAAAATGTTCCTTGGGGCCCCCCTAAGTCCCAGGAAAATACTCAGCATATGGAAGATGTATGATAAAGGTTTCTTGAATGAATGAATGAATGAATGAATGAATGAGGAGGTGACATTGGAGCTGAGATGTCAATGATGGGAAGCCAGACTCAGAGCCCCAGGGAAGGAGCGTCCAGGCAGAGGGAACGCCTAGCAAAGGCCAGCAGGTAGGAACGAGCCTGGCTGCTGGGGGAACAGAGGGAGGCCAAGAGCACAGTAAGGGGTGGAGGCCGGGGTTGGGGACCGGACCATGCAGGGTCTTGCGGGGTGTACAGCAAGGGCTTGGGTTTTGCTGGGGGGCAGTGGGAGGCATGGAACAGAGCCTCGTGGTTTTGTTGGTGAACTCCTGCCTACAGGCACCCCACTCCCTTACGGCGAGCTCCCTTCCAGCCAGCTTGGCCAACACTTCAGGCACCAGGCACACGAATGCCCCAAACAAATGCCCCCACTGACAAGCATCTCGAAACCACAGGTTTTAATTTCCAGGCACATGATGGCTGGTGTCCCCACAAACACAGGGCTGTGTTTACAGCCGAGGACTGACAAGACGTGGCACTGTCCCCTTCTGGGTCCCAGCCGGCCGGCTTCCAGGGCTGAGGGAGGAGGTGTCTTTCTCGGCGCCCTCCCATCAGAGCTGCGTGTCCCGGCCGTCCAGGGTCAGGAGGGGAAGGGGGCCGCCTCGGCCAGCGGGCGGGCCATGCTCTGGATGGCCCACTGCAGGATGCCGTCAAAGGTGTGCTGCGGGACAGAGCAACTGTGAGAACCTCCAGGGGCGCCCCGCCATGGCCACAGGATCGTCCAACCTTCCCTCTAATTCAAAGGAGGGGAAACTGAGGCCCGAGGCCCCACGGCACAGGCCAGTCAGAGGAGGACCCCGTCCTGTACATTTCACCGCATCCTGTAAGCCCAGGGCACAGCCCCATGGCAGTTCATGGCAGTTCTGCCTCCTCGGGTGGCTCCTTCGGGGTTGGGGGTCAGGGCCGGCTGCTTCTCATTCTGTTCAGGAGCCTGATGTTCCCACAGGATGTTCCCACAGGCCCCACAATGCCAGCAGAATAAGGCCGCCACCCTGGAGAGGCTGTAAGCCTGACCCTTATTTCTCCAGCTATATCCGGGGACCCCGTCCAGAGAAGCAGCTCCATTACCCAGCGCTGGGTCCCCTGGCCCACTCTCCGGCCCTGGGGTTCTACAGACATCTGCACAGTCAGGGTGTGTGGGGCATGGCCACTGCACAGGGCAGGACCCCTGCCCCATGGTCAGCTGGGACCCCCAGGTGCCACACCGGACACAGGAGAACCTGTGGAGGCTGGAGGAGCTTATCCTCTTGCCAAAAACAGACGAGGCTTTAAAAGTCACATTTTGCCCACAGATTCTACTTGCCCATCTTAGCATAGAAAGGCCTGAGTTGGGAGGGGCAAGCAACTCTCAGAGGGACGGGGCCCAGGACCCCCCCACTCCCACACTCCACCCTCCCTGGGAAAGTGGATCTTGGGCCTGGTGCTCGAGCCTTGCCTGCCAGGGTCCAGGCCCTTGGGCAAGGGGCCATGTGGGAGCTCTTGTCGGGGAGGGGCTGGGGGTGCTCAGCAGCACTGGACTCCTGCCGGGGCAGGGGCCAGGGGGGCTCCTGTTGGAGGGTGCCAGGGGCCCAGCAGCATTGAGGCTCCTGTGGGGGGCTGGGGGGCTCCTGTGGGGGGATGCCAGGGGCTCAGCAGCACTGGGGCTCCTGGTTGGTGGCGCAGGGACAGCCTAAGTTTCCATGGCTCAAGAGCAGCGGGGGCTGGCAGTCCTCAGCGTGCCCAGAGTGGGGGGCCTGGGTGCCGGCTGAGGCAGGGGAGGGGGAGTGGAGGAGCAGCAGGTGCAGCCGAGGCCAGGGGAGGCATTACCTCGCTCAGAAGGGACTCCAGGTCCTCCCTGTGCAGAGTGGGCTCATGACTGGCAGTGTCATCCTGGAACCCAGGAAAGAGAAGAGGTCAACCCAACTCCCACAGCCCTGGCGGGGACACAGAGGCCACAGGGCCTACGGGCCGCGGGGGTATTTCTCCCCCACACTGAGATGGGAATTCTTACACCCAGTCCCATTGGGGGTGAGGGCACAGGGCTACGTGGGCATGATGGGGCTGGGGCTGCCTGCCCAGGGTCCTGCTCACTGCCCACGGCCAGCTGCCCACGGCCCCCAGACAGCCTCTACACTGTGTGGCCTCCTGGGGAAAACGAGGGGGCTCAGGGAACCAGCAAGGAAGCCCCACTCTGAGCGGGGAAGTCTGAGGCCCAGAGAGGAAAGTGTCTGGTCCATGCCACCCCCGCCCCCGACAAGCACCACCAGGGCCAGCCCACGCCATGGGTGAGCGGCCAGAGTGGGGGAAGTTCCCCAGGCGGGCACCCCCAGCAAAGAGGAGACCATATTAAATTGAACCCTGTGGAACTGCCCATTTGTAGCCCCAAACAGCCACATCCCAGCTCCTCCACTCGGGTGAACACTGGCGCTGCAAGGCCCTGCAGCCCTGCGTGGCTGAGGGAGGGGCTGTTCAGTCTGGAGGGGAAAGCCCCTGGATGCTCCCCTGGTCCTAAGGATGCTGCCAGTGGGTGGGAGACCTGCTCAGGACGGGGTGTGGGGGCACACCCAACCACCCTGGGGGAAGGGGGCAGGCTGGGGACACACCCAACCACCCTGGGGGAGGGGGGCAGGCTGGGGAGGGGCCAAGGCCAGCCAGAACTTTTCCTCTAACATGGCGTTACATTTCACACCGCAATGAAAACACAGAGGTCTCTGCTGTTCAAAGACAGAACCCAGTAGGTTAATGATGAGGTACCCGCTGCAGGAGCAGCTGCAAGAAAGCTGCCTGGGGTTGGGGAGGGGCATCTGCATAGGGCACGGACTCCAGGTGGGTGGTGTGAGGAGGGAGGCTTCTAGAAGGAAGGGGACAGCGACAGCTGCGGGCCAAGCCACTGTTCCACAAAAGCCCCAAGGGCAGGGCTTGGTCTGAGGCTTGTGCCATGCCAGGCCAGAGCCTGCATGGCGAGGCAGCCTGTCACATGCCTGGGGAGTACGATGCCGGGGTGGCCCGTCACCTGCCCAGGGAGTACCATGCCGGGGTGGCCTGTCACCACACGGTGTATATGGGGTGGAGGCAGAGCTGGGAAAGTGTGTGGGCCAGTGGAGCAGGTGGGACATGTCATCACCCCAGGATCCCTAAAGGCTCCTCCGTGGCTGGGATGTGCTCAGGAGGCCTCTGCTGAGGACAGTCAGGGCAAGAGGCCACCACCCGAGGCTCCTGCAGCAGTGACTCAGGCCGCCCCCACAGCCAGCTCCAGGGCAAGCCAGGCCGCCCCAGCAGTCAGGGGTCCCCCCACCACCCGGGTCCTCTCTGACAGTAGAGCAGGAGGAAAGGAAGAGCTACTGGCTGGACCCAGGGTTGCTTTGCCTCTCTGAGAGGCTCCGCCCACACAATGGGGTGGATCCTGGCCCCAGGGAGGACTGCGGGTGAGACTGCCTGGAGGGGTCAGACGGGGTTGGGGCTTACTCCTGCAGGCCTGGCACTCCTGCTCTCCCCTCACCCCACCAGGGCACCCTGGTGAGACTCTCAGGCCTCTGCTGTGAGGCGGCCACACAACCAACCGTGATGTCAGTCACCAACCCTGGAGGCAGCTTCCTTTTAACTATATTTAAGTTGCCAAAAAGAATTAGGTTTAAAGGGAAATTATTATCTACAGATAATGACCACATGGTCAGTGTGTATGGTGCAAACCCTCAAAGCTGGCACCCAGGGTTTGTCCTGAGACGTGCTCCCCCAACCCCAACCCAAGGGATCCCCCACCCCCACCACCAGCACTCATGGAGGGTTCCTGTGGCACTGACCTTGGCAGGCCCGGGTGCCAGGTGGGCGGGGCTGGGGGCCAGCACCCCCTCCACAGGGGCCGGGGTCATGTCTCCTGAGCAGGATCTGCAGCGCAGGCCCGTCCTGCAGCAGAGGATGAGGGGCTGCCAGGTTGGGGGTAGCAGGAGTGCCACCTCCGGGGTATGGAGTGTGGGGTGCTGGGAGGTGGTGTTGGGTGTGGGGTGTGGGCATGGGTGGTGAGTGGGGGATGGGGTGTGGGGTGTGAGGAAGGGGTATGGGTGGAGAGTGGGAGTGGTGGGTTTGGGTGGGGTGTAGGGTGCGGGGTGGGTGTAGGGTGTGGATGGGAGTGTGGGGTGGGAGTGGGGTGCAGGCTGTCGGGGGCCTATGGGGTGGGAGTGGGAGGTGTGGGGTGTGGGGTGGGGTGTGGCTGTGGGGTGTGGGTGAGGTGCAGGATATGAGGTGGGGTGTAGGGTGTGAGTGGGAGTGTAGTGGCATGTGACTGTGGAGTGTAGGGTGTGGGTATGGTGTGTGGGGTGTAGGATGTGGGTGTGGGGTATAGGATGTGGGTTTGAAGTGTGGGATGTGGGTGTCGGGTGTGGGTGCAGGGTGGGGGTTGTGGGTGGGGTGCA